CCTCCCAGTAGATATCTCGAGAGCTGGGAATTAAGAAAGCACATGATAATTTAGAGTTCTGTGGATTGCATAGCATTTGGATCAAGTGGAAACTTGCCTGTCAACGGGGCAAAGCAAGACCCATTTTGTTTGTGTTTGCTGGGCCTGCAATGTGCCCTCTGAGGGGCTCTGTGGCACCCTCATGCAGCTCCCATGCCCACCCTGCTGGTACAGCCCTGCTGTGCCCAAAACTCTGCCCTTCCCTCCTGCCTGCCTGGAGCCGGTGATYGTGTCCATCAGGGTCACACCCCACTGGACCAATAGCATCTGGGAAAAAATTATCTCTGGCAACCTTTGAAAAGGCTCTTGACTCATCTTAGCCTTCCTGCTCCCTCAGCAATCCAGTGCAAGTACTCCTGGAGCAGTGCCAAGGTCTGCCTGGTGCTCGCTTCAATCCAGCTTACGGGACTCAGAGCTCCAAAGGGGCACTGTGGCCATCACTTGCCAGCTCCTGCTAGTGGTGAATGAACTTTTCTCCTCCTAAGCAGAGCCCAGCAGACAAGCATTTGGTGGGGATTACTTTTCATCTTCTATTCAGTAGGAATTCTGTAAAAGAGATGAAGTAAGGTTGCCTCTCTTTAGCAYGTGTGTGAGGATTTGGGATAAACCCCCCAAAGCACACCTACTCAAGCAGAGTCAGCTTTCCCAAGGCTACTCAAAAGGATTTCAGTTATTTTCCCTGGTGCAATGTCACTCTGGCCAGGGAAGGGGCATTGCTTTGGCCCTGGCAGGGACCAGCACACGCTTCCACTGCAGCAGGGGCAGTGCATCAAGGCAAACACATCCTGCTTGCCTGGTCCCCAACCCTTGGGTCAGGGCTGCGTCAGAGCAAGGACTCACCAGAGATCCTGCCAGAGGAGAGACGAGGTGCTCAAGCCCATCACTGCCGTGTAAAACGACCTCTCCCGGCTCGGCCATTGCCGGAGGTTTACTGAAGCGCTGCCCTCGGCGTGGATTTGGATGTTCTCYCTCGGGAACCTCCCCGCCACGCCGGGATTCCTCACAGAGCTGGCTCCTCTCCCACTCTGCTGGAAGCCGCTGGATGTTTCAGTTTTCATCACTAGATGGTGCAGGAGACAGCGCAGCGCCCGGAGGGAGAACCGCCTGCCCCCGAGCCCTGCGCCCGGACAGCTCCTC